TTTACCAAGTGAAAATTGAACCAGTTATATTTACTAAGATAAAACTGCAAAATTTAGATGTTTAGTACCTAAGCTTAGGTGGAGTTGTAATGTATATTCTCATGGTATAATCAAGGTTCTAAAAAGTTCGTCATGGCTCCAAGACTTGTACGTGTCACCAAGTTTTAATAGAATGTCGTCTTAAGTCATATATGTGTATAAAAATGAATAATAGTAGAAAATATATATAAAATTATTAATTATATACAAAAGTGTCGTCGTAAGTCACGCCTTACAAACGACGTGGCTCACCACGGCTCGGAAAAGCTTGAGGCTTGACATTGTCGCCAAGTCACGTCTTACGTTATTTAGAACCTTGAGTATAACCAATGTTCTAAATAACGTAAGGCGTAACTTGACGACAATGTCAAGCCTCAAGCTTTTACGAGTTGTGGCAAGTCACGTCGTTTGTAAGACGTGACATAAGGCGACAACTTTGTATATAATTAATAAATTTATATATTTTTTCTATTATTATTCATTTTTATACACATATACGACTTAATGCTGCATTTTATTAAAGTTTGACGCCTTGGCGGTAAGTACAAGCGTTGGAGACATGATGCGTCATGACAAAGCCATGACGAGCTTTTTAGAACATTGGGTATAACATGTGCAAATACGAAAACTGAGAGTTTGTTATCTTTTTATAACATTTTTTCTTTGTTAATTTTCAATAGTTTTTTTTTCTCAAAAACATTGTAAACTTATTTCTTTTAAGTGGTATTCCAATCGCTTATTAAACTCGAACCTTTTAGTTTTCTAATAGTTTTTGTCCATTTGATATCTATATTTAATAATGTTTGATTTATATCCTACTTATATTTAGAGATTAAATCTTTATTATTTTTTGATTATTTTTTATTAGTTAATCTATTTAATTTATCGTTTTCTCATTTTATTAGTATGCATGTGAAGTAGGGATGAAAATTTGGCCCGAAACCCGAACCGAATTAGGCTCGAATAAGCAATTCGATTTGAATTTCGGGTATCTATATTATGCTTATTCGGTTCTATATACCCGACCCGAATAAGCATTCATTATCCCCTTTCGTTGATCAACAGAAATCAAAATCATGATTCACATTTTTGTCATCACCTTTCATAGCAGAAAAAAAAAACCCTACACTTGTTCTCGTTGTGTAAAAATCAACCAATCTTCTCATCTATTTCCAAACTCGAAATCACTTTTGTCGATCCTTCCTCTTGTTTCAAACTTACAAAAATCGACTCTTCCTATTGTCTCTAAGGATTCACGAATTCCTACTTTGTCTAGTCATGGAGAATTGAGCTCCAACTCAAGAAACTCAAGAAATAAATTAATTCTCATTATGTTAATCTACTATGTAAATGTTATTCTTTCAATGTGTTATTGTGTTATGTTAGTCTTTGAATGTTTTATATTGATGTATAAAAGTACATTGTTATTCTATCATTCGGGTTATTCGGGTTATAGAATCCTAATACGGTTTATTCAGTTTTTTTTCGGTTATATTAGGTCTTTAACCATCTTGTACATGTTATTCGGGTTATTCGGGTAATAATCGAACCGAACCGAACCTGTATTGGTTAATCGGTTCGGTTTTCAGTTCATGCAATTACCCTTATTCGTTTTTCGGGTTATTCGGGTTCGGGTTCGGGTCGGTTCGGGTCGGTATCGACCCGAATAACATCCCTATACGAAGTAATGTTTTTTTTATAGAAAAGTGAAATATAATTAAAAAATAACAAACTGTATGAGGGTGTTTTATAAAACATTTAAGATAGATAAAATATAAACTCATTAATCTTATAAAAATGTTAACTATGGGAAACGCCTTATTGCTCGTGGATACAACTCACTTCAATTGAAAAAAACACAAACACACACATTTTAATGTTGATTATTGATATTTGGTGCCTTAAAAAATCTCTTATCGGAGATACTCTAAGATCATGAGGTGTAACTCTACCTCATATGTGTGGTATCCTAACCTGGCCTCAGGCATGGCAAGGCAACACCAAGCATCCATGTTAGTGGTGCCCGTATTGAAAGTGTTAGGCGTGAACTACCATGAAAATCTCTCTCTCTCTCTCTCTCTCTCTCAAGTTTGTAATGTGGGTATTTACTTAGAAAAATGTTTATGAAATGTTGACGAAGGAAGTGATGTGGCTTGAAGCCTTAAAGGTGTAAAGGGTGGAAGAGGGTAGACCCGATAAGCCTCAACAGGCTCAGTCCAAGGTCTATCATTTTTTTCCAAACCAGATCGGTCCAAGAATCGGTCCGGTTCGGTCTAAATGTTCAACCCTAGGTCCAAAAACCGGGAACCGGACCTGGACTCGATAAGCCTCAACATGTTAAGTCCAAGGTCCACCAATTTATACGAAATCGGTCTGGTCAGGTTCGGTCCAAATACTCACCCCTAGAAGAGGGAATATATCTAATATCATCATTTATTGTGACATATCACATTCTTGCGATTACTCTACAATTAAATGAAATATAACATTTTTCAAAAATAATCTCCATACAACACATTAATAGTTATTTCATATATTTAGAAATTATCTTAATTGTTTTTAATTTATTCTAATAAATGAAAAAAAAAATTGGCACATGTCATATTCTTTTTGTCACATATCATTTTGTGGTTATTTTCAATTATTTTTTTCACATGATATTTTGTGGTTTTTTTTTCTATTTTATTAATTCCAATAGTATTTATAGGTCACATGGACATGGACTTTCTTTTCTGGATGTAATAAATGAATTTCAATTTTAGGAATGCAATTATTATTCAAAATTCAAAATTTTTATATTCAATTTCCAATTTAATATATTTAATCTATTAAATTAAAATATATTATTAAATATAAAATATTATCTTATTATTGGTAGATTTTTAAAAATGATTATCACAAAACACCTATTTGTTATTTTAAATATTATGTTAAATCCAAAACATAAATCATGTTATTAAATTAACTTATAAAAAACATGTTCATACTATTTTTCAAAATAGTTAAAAAAAAAAAAAGGTTAAATGTTGTAAATGTAGAATGACAAGTCAAATTAAAAAAATGATCAAAAACTATTTTTATTATAATTCAATATTTTCCAAAGGAGTGGTTTTTAATTATTTAATAGAGAAAAATAAATCGCATTAACTTACCAACAATGGTTTATATATCAATTACCCATCATGATTGAAATTAAAAATAAAAATAAATAAATAAAAAAAAAGATAAGAAATTTCTAGATAAACAATTACAACGTTAAATTGTAGTACTAAATCGTAAACCATGTTTAGTTTTTTTTTAATGCAAATCGCGAGTAGATGCTATTGAATTATATGGATATATTATCTACTTATAACTGTTTGTTATGTGACAACAATTTTATCTATTTACTTAATTAAAATACTTACTTATTTATCATTATGGTTGTATTTATTTTGAATTTTTATTTTTAAAATGTTTAATATTTAGACATTTATATATATAACTTTTTGTTTTAATCAACCCGTTTAGTACATGAGTGTCGCAACTAGTTAATAAATAATCAATAACTATCAATAAATAGTTTAATGTTTAAAAATACTTAATATTTACTTTATTTTGTTTCTTAATATAGAAGTTGACAATTTAATGTAACATATAAAGTATAAATATCTTTTAATATATAAATACAATGTATATGACACTAATTTTATATGAAATATAAATTAATAAATAAAAGTAATTAGTTGCAAAGCTTTCAAAAGTTAAAAAGCAATGTTGTGTGGCTTTAAATTCAACTGCAAATGCCATATTTGTTACATTTGCAAGTCATCTAGATTAGACCGAGTAATTATCATGTGGTGTTTGGTGTCTTTGAAATATTAAACATAAAATGGGCTTGATAATATAATTTTATCCGTTGAATGTTGTGTCGTGTTAATTTGTTTATTTAAACAATTAGAGATCTCTTACCTAAACTTGATTATATCGTTCTGAGTTTAAGATTTAGGGTTTTATTCTTTAGACCTTGTAAATGCATAACGTCGTGTTGGGTTAAAACAAATAAGCGGGTTAAACTAGTTTAACCATAACTTTATATGTATAGTTTTTGTGTGATGTCGAGCCAACCTTTTTACTTAAATGAAAACTTGTTTATTTTGTATCGGATTAACAAGTCAAATTGGTTTTTATCGACTATAAGTCTATAACCTAGATCAACATGTGAAAGGCGTACAAGTCATATTTAGTCCATAATTATCATAACTAATTATTTAGTCCATAATTATCATAACTGATTATTATTTTGTCTTTTATTATTATTTTTAAATAAAATTAACTTCTCATATTAATTTATCATTTAAATGTATATTTTTACATAAAAAATCATTAAATTAATATTTTTAACTAATTTTTACATTATAAAACAAATTAAAAAAATACAATAATATAAGTTGATATATTTTAAAATATTGATTGACATCAATATAAAAATAAGTACTTAAGTATGATATATTTTGGTCAACTGCAAAACTTAAATGAATCGTAATAATAGTTTTAAATGAATAGATGTAGATGAATCATAACACAACTTAAATGAATCATGACATATATCGTATCAAATTGAATCATGGCAAAATAAATGAATCATAACATATATTAATGAATGATGACAATATATTATTTATAATAAAA